CACCCTGGGCAGACCTCAAAGGTCCTGTGGTTGGGTCAAGCAATCCTGGGGTGGTCACCCAAGGGAGCCCTGTCTCCTATTCCACTCATCATCACCACCACCACCACCACCACTCCTGGGTCAGGTCGTCTCACGCAGACGGACGCCCATGGACAATTTAAAACAGGGCCAGCCCATCGCTGGCCCCAAACAGAACCTCTCTCCAGCTTCTGCATCTTCCTCGGCGTTCCAACATAGCAAGGCTCTAGCCAAAGCCAGGCCCCCTTCCAAAGTTACCTTCCACTCCACACTTCCTTAAGACCTTGGAGGTTGGGGTGCTGTGAAAAAATCCAGGGGCTCCCCACCCAAGCCCCCTGGTGTCTCCTAGGGAGCCCTGGTGGCAGAGTGGTTCCCAGGTTGGGCTAACCATAAGCAAGGTCAGCAGTTCGAACCCACTGGCCGCTCTGGGGAAGAAAGAGGAGGCTTTCTACTCCCCCAAAGAGTTACAGTCTCAGAAACCCGCAGGGACCATTCCACCCGGCCCTAAAGGGGTCACTAGGAGCCGGGATCGACTCGAGGGCAGGGAGGTAGTCTTGCAGGTGAGGCTTCTCCTGTGATATACAACCTGGGAAACCCTCTAGAGTCTATGAGTGGGCATCGATTTGATGGCAGGGAGCCTGATCTTTGTTGTTGTTTTTATGGTTGTTTTCCTCCCAGGGCGTAGGAGCAGGTGGGGGTGAGAGGAGGGGCCATCCATGCACACCCCTATCTCCTGGGAAAGTGATTTGATCCCTGTGTCCATCCCCTTGTTCCCAGAAGAACTGAAGAGGTGCCTGTCTCAGACCCAAGCCATGAGGATTTTGCGATTCATCACGCTTGCTCTGGTGACAGGTATGGTGAGGGAGGGGCAGGGCAAGGGAGCTCCCGCTCCAATCTCTAGGATCCCCTTCCCCTCCACCCACCCCACCCACCTATGCCCGGGTCCTGACAAGTCGGATGTGTCTGTACAGAGAGAGCCGGAATGCGAGTTGGGGTGTATCCAGTGTCGTGTCAGACGAAAGAATGAGGAGAGGTCCTGGAAGGTCCGGGGGGCGGAAGGGGGGCAGGGAAGGCAGCTGGAGTGGGGGGTGGGAGACACCTGCATAGAGTTCTGGACCATGGTGACTCAGCAACCAGCCTGGAACCATCCTTATTCGGATGCCTGAGCCACCTGTGGAGCCCTGGTGGTGTAGTGGCTCCCGGTTGGACTGTGGACCATTCGATCTGCAGTTCAAAACCACCAGGCCCTCCTTGGGAGAAAGATGAGGCTTTATACTTCCTAGTTTCCAGTCTTGGAAACCCATGGGGCTATTCTGCCCTGCCCAAGAGACTGGTCACGATGAGTCAGCCTCAACTCTATGGCAGTGTGTCTGGTTTGGGTTTTTGGATCCAGATTAGAAGAAAAAAAAAGTGTGGCCCAAGTAACCCACTCTTTTCGCTTTGCTGCCCCTACCTCTAGGGGTCCTCCCACCCTTAACCTCCCCCTCATGCCTGAGTCCCATCTTTTACCCCTACCCCCTCCAGGGCATGTAGGGGGAGAGACCAGGATCATCAAGGGGTACGAATGCACCCCTCATTCCCAGCCCTGGCAGGTGGCCCTGTTCCAGAAGACCCGGCTGCTCTGCGGGGCAACGCTCATCGCTCCCAGCTGGCTCCTGACCGCAGCCCACTGCCGCAAGCCGTGGGTGCGGGGGCCAGGGCCGGGCTGGGAGGGGGCTGGAGATGGGTGGACGTGGGTCTGGGAGGCAGACAAGACATGCGTGTCTGGGGGGAAAGTGAGGGTGAATGTCGGGGGATGGGCGAGCGTTAGCATTGATGGTGGGGATGGAGTGGCAGCTGAAGGTGGAGCGGGGATGGTGACGGTGGGGGGGGTGGTCGGGGTGCTGTTGAAACTGGAATGGATTGGGCACTGGGAGGGGAGGCTGTGCTTTGGATGAAGGCTCGGTGTTGGGTTGGGATTGATATGTCTCCAACGGGGGCTGTGGTGGGAAGCTGGGAATGAGGTTTGGAAGCAGAGCTGCCCCTCTACCTTCCATCTCATGGGTGCCATTCATTTCTTCCTCTGTGTCTCCCCACCCACCCACCCCCAACCTTCCCCATCTCTGACTGTCCTCTCTCCCACCTCAGCAGCTACATAGCTCACCTGGGGGAGCACAACCTCCAGAGACAGGATGGCTGTGAGCAGACCCGAAACGCCTTTGAGTCTTACCCCCACCCCGGGTACAACAACAGCCTCCCTAACAAAGACCACCGCAATGACATCATGCTGGTGAAGATGGCGAGCCCCGCTATCATCACACGGGCTGTGCGACCCCTCATCCTGTCATCCCACTGTGTCACCGCAGGCACCCGCTGCCTCATTTCTGGCTGGGGCACCACCTCGAGCCCCCAGTGTAGGGGCTCCTCCAAAGGGGAACGTGGGGGTGGGGCGGGGCTGGGGGTTGGCCTTGATGGGGAGCAGCCGGAGGAAGCTTTTAAAAATGAGACTCGGTTATGTGAGCGGAGGTTGGGGTTGGGGGGTGTCATTGGTGGGATCCGTTGAGCGGAAGAGCATTCCGTTGAGAGCCGAGGAAGGTGAGGGACAGAGGTTCAGACAGATGGACGGGAAGTTCCAGCTCCACCACTTGCTTGTGTACCAACCTTAGGCAAGTTGGGGTGGTACAAACTTAGGCAAGTGGTACAACCTTAGGCAAGTGGCTTCCTACCTCTGAACTGTTTGTTTTTTTTAATTTCCTTCACGATCAAATAGCAACAGTTGTCCCTTCCTAACCAGGGTTGGATCAGAGATCATGTCGATAGACCTGCTGGCATAAAGAATGGCAGTGGCATGCTTTCAGTGGCACGATTATTGCCCGTGTTACCAGCAAAGGGATTAGAAGGTTGGGAGCCAGAAGGCAAAGGGAGATACGGGGCTTAGCGCCTCCACCAACCACGTGAGGACAGGGACTCCTTTTCCCACGCTGGCCCCTGCTGTGTTCACAGTGCACCTGCCCCACGCCTTGAGATGTGCCTCCATCACCATCATTGAGCACCAGGAGTGTGAGGACGCCTATCCGGGCAACATCACAGACAGCATGGTGTGCGCCAGCGTTCGAGAATCGGGCAAGGACTCCTGCCAGGTCAGAGGGTAGGGCTTGGGTTTCCCCACGACCTTCCCACCCCCATCTCCCATCTCAGGAAAACTCGGTCTTCCTGCCCATCCTCAATCTCACCCTTCGACCCCAACCCCACCTCTGCAACCCCAGATCCATCTCCCTCTCCAGCCCTTGCGTCCACTATCATCACATTTACCCCAGCCCCATCTCTACCCCAACCCCACTGCCATTGCCCACCCCAACATCCCCAAACTCATGTTCCCTTCTCACCCCACCCCTAGTCCCATTCCGAAACCCAATGGCCTATGCAGCCTTGTGGCGAAGCCCACCGCCAACTCCTGCCCCAACCTCCACCTCCCACATCATCTCATCTGCTCTCTAACACCACACCCAATCTTGCCCCCCTTCTCTGATGGGCTTCCTCTCTCCTCCTCCCCAGGGTGACTCTGGGGGACCTCTGGTGTGTAACGGGTCTCTGCAAGGCATCATCTCCTGGGGCCAGGACCCCTGTGCCGTCACCAAGAAGCCGGGGGTCTACACCAAGGTCTGCAAATACGTGGACTGGATTCAAAAGACCATGAAGAGCAATTAGCCAGAGCCACTTGGCCACGCAGCCCAGCCACTTTGGTTTGTGATCGGGTGGTGTGCTTGTCATCCCGTTCAATACTTCACGAAGCCACCCCTCCACCCACCCCCACCCACTCCTATGGACTTCCTCACGGCTGGTCTCCTCGAACGCAGGTGCGCAGGAGCTTGGGATGAGCTCACACTTTGGAATCCGCGCGGCCTGGCTGTTCCACTCTCGGTGTGTGCCTGCTGGGTGACGGTGACAAGGGCAGCCATGTAGTTTTGTTCACTGTCAAGTTGCCACTTCTCGGCATTCGCCAAAGGGTTCAATAAAAAAATTGGCTGGATAAGTGGGCGTCTTGAGTGCTGAGCCCTTCTTAAAACCCGAATCTGGTCTGCAGGCATGGCCATGGATTCCTCACCAAAACTCTTATCCGGTGGGCGCAGACACAAAATCACTTGCTCGTGGTTCGCACAACCCCTGCAACAGTGGTTCTCCACCTTCCTCACGCCGCCACCCTTTTATACAGTTCCTCATGTGGTGGTGACCCCCCACCCATAAAATTATTTTCGTTGCTACTTCATCACTATCATGTTGCTACTCTGATGAATCGGGCGACCCTTGTGAAAGGGTCGTTTGACCGCCAGCAGAGTCTCGACCCACAGAGTCTCGAACCACTGCCCTACATAGAAGAACAAGGCTTCAAAGCTGGGTAGCCTTGTTAGACAGTCAAGATAGGGATAGAGGGGGCTGACCCTCCCATGCCTGTACAGGCCCCATAGAGGGGCTTGGGAAGGAATCAGGTAAGCACTAACCTCCTATGAAGACTAACTGGGCATGCTCCAATTTATGACAACAGACATATACACAGCTAGGTGGGGCTTACACCTGGGTGGCCCAAATCTAGCCTCAGACTCATCACCCCACCCAGATGGGCTTCATTCAGCCAATGGGGTTGACCAATACCTTCCACCATGCCTCCCCAGAGGCCAGAGGTTTAAAATATCCTGGCAGCAGAAGGCCGGCTCTTTTTACCCCGATTCCGAGCTTGGCTGTGCCATGGCCTCTCTGGCCTCAGGTCGCCACGGGTGGGCGTGCAGTCCCACGAGGTTGCACATATTCCTTTGTGGGCCCCTGCGTGGCTGCCCCAGCATGGCTTCCATGGGGTTTGGCACGCTTCCCCGAAATAGTGTGTACTCTTCTGAGACTGTAAAACATCTCCCATCCTTTATTTAAAAAACAAAACCCACTTTAATGACAAACCAGGCTTCGGCGTGAATTCTTTCTCTCGAGAAGCCAAGAACCGAGGTGTGACTCACTGGAGACACCTCACAGCCTCCTCACTACTAAAGAGGGCTGCCTTGACCAAAGCTTTCTTGCCTACTCTGCGCGGTTTACCCTCGCTTGCAACGCTTCCAAAGCAAGGTGCCTGCAGGTAGTAAGATGTAGCAGAAGGGCACAATCACTCTCGTTTTCCAACTCCTGCGATGGAAAGTAGCTCATCCCAACGGGCCTGGAGGGTAGCTTCTCCTCAAAGATGGCTATAAACATGTCACAAATCTTAAATGCAACTTCTCATTGGCCCTGGCCACGTTTCAGGTGTGCCCCAGTGACAGGTGGCCAATGCCTTAGCCGTTAGCACCCCTAGAACATCTGTACCGCGTCAGAATGGGCTACTGGACAGCCCTATCCAGGTTCTAGACCGACCTCTCGCCATGGAAGAAAGAGGCTCGGTCTGGAATCTGGAGTCCGGAACCCGGGATCTTTCTCGACTGTCTGCTCACCTGGAACAAGGGGGGATGGAGGCTTGCTGACTTGGAGGAGGACTGGCCGTGTGGCCCCCCTCCCAGTTCACACCAGAAAGAAAGAGCCCTGGGCTGAGGTGATGTGAATGCCCTTGGGCTGGCCTTCTGCAATTCAGGATGCTGGGAGTCACTCAGAGACCAGCTAGTAGCAGGGAGGGCCTGGGATAGTCACACAGAGATGCAATGCAGAATCCTTCCATCCCAGTTACCCAGAGACACACGCTGGCGCCGGATGCTCACTCTAGCTGTGCCCCAGTGGCATGAACCCCGATCTTGTTAGATCCCAAACCTTCCTCCTCCTATATCTCTTCTTCCTCTCCCCTTCTCCCCCTTCCCTGTCTCTCTGTGACTGAGCTTTGGGGCTTGCTTCATCCTCCCCACTATTCCTGTTGTCTCCCTCGGGCCCTGTCTCTGAGCCAGTCGTCTCTTGTCTTTTGTCTTCCCTTCCATTTTCCACTCCTCTGACTTGCCCGCCACCATCTGGCTTGTCTTACTCTGCACTTGAGGTACGCATTTCCCTGTCGGCGTGTTTGTCTTCCTCTCTCGCTCTCCATGACCTGTCTGCAGTGCCATCTCCTCCACCCCACAGGTGCCTGGGGAACCAGGAGTTCCCTCTTCCCACCTTGAAGGGTTCTGCCCACACCGGAATGGTGAGA